AATCTAAGTTGCAGCATATCTCAGGAGCACTCGTCAGACTCAGAGCTCCATCGCCGTTTTTCGGCGCTTATCTCCTGCTCCGGACTCCGTGTCTCCATAGATACTATATACACCAAGTGGATATGATCTATGAAACAGGAAGTGCCTATGCTCTTTTCGCCGGATGTGACGTTTTTCCTAGATATGCTTAGCAACCAAAATGGTGGCAAAATCAATAATTATAAAAAACTTCATAAAAATCTATATTTCTTCTGAAAAGAGTCAGTACAAGAAACAACAGATAATTTATCTTCATTGGTTTCATATTCATACCCTATTTGATGATCAAAAAAATAATATAATAAAATAGTTTTATCATTCTAATATGGTATATCACAATGACATTAAGTTGAAGAAACATAGTTTTAAAATAATTATGAAAATATACAAACCGTACAAAAGGCATGTACGTAGGCACATACAAATTATACTTCATCAAATAGCATAGTTTTCCAGAAAAGGCGTTTACAAAACAGACCATAAATAAACTAAAAAATGGATATATTTCTATTTTATAAAACTGCAGTGGAAAGCTAGTAGTTACAGACCATGTAAAACAATAATATCCTTCTTCTACCCAAATAACACTTACTAACTCTGCCCCAGATTGGAGAAAAGGTGTTTAAAGTTAGAACTATAGGCCGCCATGTTTTACAGCACAACGAGATCCAGTGATCAAGCAAACAAGGATTCAGCAGGTCATTCGACCTAATAGAGACTTCATAATACTTACTGCAACTCAGGAAAGTAGTAACTTGACTAAGAACCCAAAACTTCGAGAAACAAGGCCACTAGAGGCTACGCTAGACTAGAGCAAAAAGAGCTTAGGCATTAGGCAATAGGCATACTGCTCGTGACGTCACCAATATAATTTCATCCACTTCCTGTTTCGTATCCACTTGGTGTATATAGTATCTATGGTGTCTCCGGCAGCAATCATCTCCGGCTCCGGTTTTTAGCACTCATCTCCGGGTTTTAGCAGGACCCTTTCCACACTCAATATGTATATGTTATGTATAACAGGTCCTGGTCAAGTAGCAGTGGCGGATCTAGGGGGGGGTTCCATGGGTTCCATGGAACCCCCTCTTTGGCAAAAGAAGTTGCCTTTTTGCAGTATCCTTGGATTCTTTGCAGTCAGTTTGCAGCACTTTTCCTCCATTTTATTAATTAAAACTGATGAGCCACACCCAATTTTTAAATTAATATTAATGAGCCACACCTACTTAAGTGAAATGGAACCCCCCTTTTAATTTTTCTGGATCCGCCAGTGAGTCAAGTTGAGTTAAAATCTCAAAGAAATAGTCTTTTATCTAAAATCTACACAAAGGACAAGCTATCCACGGGAAGTGAGCCTGTAGTGTACAGTCAGAACTCAGAAGATGATTCGAGATACTACAAGCACGTGTTAGGCTAAACAGCTAGTGTACATGAAGTGTTGAAGCATGTCATTACTATATACTTTTACATATTGTACTTATCTAACACACATGAATACACAAGCTAGTGATGGGCGATATGGCCAATTTTCTTAATTTTTGATAACGATCGATATTGGACTTTTTAAGGAAATATCGATTATTAACGATACGATAACCACACCTTCATTTTGGGGGCGTGTCAAGGGTGTGGCTAATGATTTTGGCACAGATATAACTGTACTTGTCATGAGAGAAGATCACTTTCATGCTCTTGAACTTGGTTCTCTTCTTATTGGGGTAGGCTGAGCTAACAACTGGTCAG